TAAGAGTGGTGCCCTGGGGGATGGGGGGCTGTGGGGGTGGAAGATCCTTTCTTCTCAGCTTGCCTCTCTTGGCACAGAATCTCTGCCCTCTGAGGAAGGGGAGAAGGCAATAGGATCCTTACTGATTCTTGACCTCCTAGGCCTGGGACAGAGCTTCTATCCCACCAGCAGGGGCTGGTGGAGAAAGAAAACCCCAGATCTCTCTGCCCCTCGCCTGCAACATGGATCCGGAGGGAAGGAGAAGTGCTGGTGGCTTATCTCCCCAGGGAAAAAGTACAGTCCTAGACTGGGAACTGGGAGGAGAAAGAGCCCCACCGTCCTGCTGTACCCACTTGGAGTAGAGCTCCCACTATGGTGAGCTGAAAGGTGGGCAGACGGAGCAGACTGTGGGTGGGACAAGTGCCACAGATTTGCTGTTTTCACTGAGACTTAGATTTTCTTTTTCTTTTTTTAAAAAAAGTATTGATTTGAGAGAGAAACATCGATTAGTTGTTCCGCTTATTTATGCATTCATTGGTTCATTCTTGTATATGCCCTGACTGGGGATCGAACTGGAAACCTTGGCATTTCGGGATGATGCGCTAACCAACTGAGCTACCCAGCCAAGGCTAAAACACAGATTTTCCTGATTAAATGTTTCTCCACTTGCTATACGTCCTTAGGACAATTTTCAGAGACTTTAAATGGTTGGGTTTAATGGTGGAGTTTTTTAAATCACTTCGGTTGTTTCACTGGGGAGAGTGTCTGTGGAGCTCCTCACACCAGCATTCCAAAAGCGCTCACGTGTCCTGTGAGCTGACTGTCAATAAACTGTGAGCGGCTGCACATTGGTTTGAAAGCTTTAGGCTAGCAGTTATGTAACCATCTCAACTGTTACTGTAAAAATTACTAATTATTGTCATCATTTCTTTTTTTTATATACATTATTTTTCCAAAGAACTTGAATGCTCCTTGAAGATAAGGACAGTCTACTTATAAACTTATTAATTTGGCTTGTAGAATCGCACACGCACCATTCACATGAAAGAATACATCAAATTTAAAGGAAAGAAGATGGAAGGAGTATAGAGAGCAATACCTGTTGTTGTTTTTTAAATTTATAGTAGAGCTTTAAAAACTTCAACTTCTTAATAGATTTCAAACATGGGTACAATTGCAGAAAAGCATACCGAATAGGATTTACAAACTTGGGTAATCATGGAATATTATTGAGTTACGTGAACTAAGTGAATATGCTTTCACATGTAAACCTATGAATATTGACATTAAGTCTCATCTGTCCAAAGGATTTTGCCTGTTGCTGATACGAATGTGGGCTCTAATTTTGTGTTTGTTTTTTATTTTATTTCGATCAAAAAGGATTATACACACTATTGACCTACTCTTTGTTCTTTGACTCAATAAAAACCAATTAAAACTTCCCACCCCAGCCAGTTGGAGTGTTGTCCTAAACACCAGAAAGTTTCCAGTTCGATTCCCAGTAGGGCACATTACCTAGCTTGTAGATTTGATCCCCGGTTGGGGGCATGTACAGGAGGCAACCAATCGATGTTTCTCTCTCACATTAGTATTTTTTTCTCCTTCTCTCCCTCTCTCTCTCTCTCTCTCCCTTTCTCTAAAAAAAAAACACAAAACTATGAGAAACATATCCTCGGGTAAGAATTTAAAGCAATTTTTAAAAATACATCTCTTATGCTTTAAAGTTTCCTGGACTCTAACTATTAATCTTGAAAATAAAATAAAGGGAAATAAAACACACAAATGCAGGAATCATTATAAAGTGACTTGCTGATTGCCTGTTCCCTTCCCAATAAAGAGAATACACAATATGCCTATTTTGTGTATTTGTGAAACAAGCCAGCATTTCATTTAAAAAAAAAACACAACTAAACTAAAAAAAAAAACAGTAATCCAAACTCACCAGTATTTCGGGCTTTCCCTCCGTTTTCTGGAGCCGGTCAGTATCATTAGAAGGCAAACCTCGGGGGAGAAAAAGCAGCTGTGAGAAAGCAGGCCTCCCCTGAGGCTCCCAGAGTAGCTCCTCTAAGCCTTGTGATGGGGGAAGCCCTCCCTTTACTCAGCTAAACCCGGAGCCTTGCTCTCCCTCTTCATCTCCACACTCCCAACAACACTCACCTTCTGCCTTATGACTCTGACTCAGTGTCTTCATGGTCTGCACAGCCTCCCTGCTCGCCAAAGGCAAACTCTCTTCCCTGTCCTGCCCTCCCCAGGCAGAGAGTCAGGCAATGTCAGGGCCCGAGTCAGCCCCGTGTTTGCTGTGGAATTCTACCGCAAGTGCAGGCAGAAGCCATTTCATCGCTAGATCGAGCTCCACAGCCTGAAGTGACTTCTCCGAACCTTACTTGTACACGCCCCTCTTGTTTCCATGAACCAGGACCTGTGGGATGGAGAAGAAATGTGACGGTGCCAGGATCTTTAATGGAGGCCCTAAGCCAGCCGTGGGCAAACTACGGCCCGTGGGCCGAACCCGGCCATTTGAAATGAATAAAACTAAAAACAAACAAACAAACAAAAAAACCATGCCCTTTGATGTAATGATGTTTACTTTGAATTTATATTAGTTCACACAAACACTCCATCCATGCTTTTGTTCCGGCCCTCCGGTCCAGTTTAAGAACCCATTGTGGCCCTCGAGTCAAAAAGTTTGCCCACCCCTGCCCTAAGCCCATGCCTCCTCACGAGGGTCCTGTCCTCGCACATCCTCCTCATTCAACAAATATGGAGTCTCAGTCCATGGGGGGCGTTCCTTGGATTCCCCCCCCACAAAAAAAATATATTTTTATTTATTTCAGAGAGATAGGAACATCAATGATGAGAGAGCATCATTGATCGGCTGCCTCCTGCACGCCCCCCACTGGGGACAGAGCCCAGGCATGTGCCCCGACCACGAATCAGAACTGTGACCTCCTGGTTCACAGGTCGATGCTCAACCACAGAGCCACGCTGGCCGGCTCCTTGGATTTTTTTTACCTCATTCCTTTCCAGCTCTCAAGTCCTTGGAATTTTTTTTTACCTCATTCCTTTCCAGCTCTCAAGTCTGTTCCCTGCCCCTCTCCCTTATGTGACAAAATTGGCAATTCCCTCCCACCCCCACACCTCAGATTCAAGCTCCATGTGTTCTATACAATCTCTGCCACTTGGAGCCTCAGTCAGAGAGAAGACATAGCATACTGCCTGTGGAATGTCTCCTTCCAGACCAACTGGGGCATTCAGAACTCCGCTCCTGCTGTTCTGAATGTGTTCCATCCCCTACGTCCCAGTACTCTTGTGGGGGAAGGGGGGGGTGTCTAAACTAAGTCCTTCTTACTTTAGGTAGAGCTCCAAGTCCTCACAATGACTCTGTACAGATACCTTCCCACACACACACCTTCTTTTCTGCACATGTATGCCACAAGGCCTTATCCGTGATGTGCATGGGTGTCTCCTGATGGGCCCAATCCGAAGTCCTCCACCCACGTGGTCCCAAGGAGGTGGGTGATGTTAGGAGCTATCCCACCTTCAGAAGCAACTCAGACACCCTGTCCAGAATCTCAGTCCAAGTGACTGGAGTTCTGCTGTTGCCAAGTTCCCTTCTGAGACTAGCCAGGGCTCCTCAAAGAAGCCCTTTTGATTCATCCCCTAACAACACAGGTAGAGATGGTCACTCACGCTTCTGTCCAATCTGGGCATCTCACCTTAATCACACCATCTTGCAATTTGTCTATGTCTATGACTCTCTTTACTAGTATTCGAGCTTCTAATAAGACGAAACGCATCTCAGGGGTTTCGCTACGCCTAGTGATTAGAATAAAACAGTCCTTTGTGGTAGATTTGATCATTGTTCCCAATTATTTGCTTCTCTCTAAAAGGACTGTACTTCCTGCCCGTGACATCAGGTCTTGCCTTAGACAATGAAAAGTGAGAGAAAGTGACAGGCCACTTCTAAGCATTGCATGATTCAACCATCTCTCATGTTCTGAGAGCAGCATGTTTCCAAGTGGCCTTCCTTCTACTATAAAAGGTCACGGTGCTGAGCCAACCTACAAAGGAGGAGGGATCAGACTAGGTTTAAGGTTGGACTGTGGGTCACGAGTCATGTGTTACTGGAGTACAACTTAGCCTAAGCTGATAAATACAGCCCTTTTGCTCCCACGAATGCTAGTATTTATAGTTAGTATTTATAAAACAGGTACTGTACTAAGCGCAGAGTTCTATGAATCTTCACAACACAGCCAAGAGGTAGACACTTCTATCCTTCCCATCTCACAGAGGAGGAAACTAAGGCATATGAGGTCCATTTACTTGTCTTAAGATCACACAGCAACCCAGTGTCAAAGCCAAGCCTAGAATCCAAAATTTTCATTCCAAAGCCCTTTATCTTCACCATTCCCTAAAATAATGCCCAGTGAGCAAATACCTTCAGATGTTTATAGATATTATTTTAAAAATCAGGACATTATAAGTACAATCGTTCTGCATGTAAGAAGAGAAAGGAAAGAAAAAAACTGGCAAAATCCTATTAAAAACAATCTAAAAATTTTATGTCCTAAGACCTTATCTTGGTAACTACTGGATTGGAAACTTCAAAATACGGCCAAAAAGAAATGTAAGCCAAACTCCATTTTCGGCCAAGGTCCTACCAAACTGCTGCAACCCTCAAGGAAATTATAACCTAAAAAAATTACAGTGGCTACTATGAAGAACATTCCAATTAGATTAGACCATTTAAAAGTGCACTTAAAAGCAAGGGCTTCCAAATCAGATATACAGAATGGGGGACTATAATGACTCGCCAGTATAAAAAAAATTTTTTTAATTGTCTTTTTTTTTTCAATTTACAAGTTTTTCCAGTTCAAAAGATCCATCATCACCAGACTGGCATGGCTCAGTGGTTAAGTGTCAACGTATGAACCAGGAGGTCATGCTTCGATACACGGTCAGGGCATATGCCTGGGTTTCAGGCTCAATCCCCAGTTGGCATGTGTAGGAGGCAGCCAATCAATGATTCTCTCTCATTACTGATGTTCTATTTCTCTCCCTCTCCCATCCTCTCTGAAATCAAAATATATATATATATTTTTAAAAAGATCCATCATCAACAGATCTTGACATGTAGAAACTTAGCCACTCAAACCAATAAGCCTTTTTATGGCTTCATCAAGAGCCACACAAGAGTATAAAAAAGTGCAGCCCTGCCCTAGCTGGTTTGGCTCACTGGATAGAGCGTCGGCCTGGGGACTGAAGGGTCCCAGGTTCAATTCCGGTCAAGGGCATGTACCTTGGTTGCAGGCACATCCCCAGTAGGGGGTGTGCAGGAGGCAGCTGATTGATGCTTCTCTCTCATCGATGTTTCTAACTCTCTATCCCTCTCCCTTCCTCTCTGTAAAAAAAAAAAAAAATCAATAAAATTATTCTTAAAAGTGCAGCCCTCACAAGAACCAAAACGCCTCCAATGGGATACTGCAGGACTCAAGATGTCAGAATGAGCAGAGGAAATTCACCCACAGCTTGGAGCAAAGAAAACACCCTAAGAACGTGAACAGTGTGTGGTGCCCACCTTAACGGGGCTGCCAGGAGCCCATTTTCTCTATGCAATCCTCACTGGGATATGAGAACGTGGACCTGAGGTTGAAACAGGAACTGTGAACCTCAGGACTGTCTCTCAGCCCCAGATACCAGGCTAGAAATCGCCAAGTCTGAAATAAGGGGTGCTCCTCTTCCTTTAAAAAAAGCCTCAGACCTGCCAGAGAAGGACGTCATAGACAGCTTACTGTATACCAGGCTCTGTACAATTTTTACCTCCCAAAGGCCCCATGAGTTAGGTCTTGTGATAAACTGAGGCAGAGTTATGAATCTTGCTCATGTTGAAGAGCTAGAAAGTGCCTAGATTTGCGCTCTAGCCCCATGTGGAGTCCCGCGTCCTTAGCCAGCTGTCAGGGGTAAGGTTAGTAGTGGCCTTACTACTTAGTAGTAGTCACACCTGTGGGGTGTGACTAGTCTCAAAGTGTATTCACACATAGGGCTGAGGAGATGCAAAGATTAGCAGTGAATTAATAAATGCTGGATCTGGTGATAGCTTCATGGGGTTCACGTACTGGGCAGGTTTAAAATCTGTCCTTACCAAAAATAAAAATAAAATGAAAGTTTGAGTCCTGATAGCTAGGCCTCACCAGATGCCAGAAGTGATTTGGATAGTCAGTCAACAGCCCTCAGAAGTTCCCACCCTACCTACATTCCCTAAGCCCGAATCCAGAGGTTAATTCCCTAAAACCCTAATCCAGAGGTTTGACCCCAACACATGAGAGAAAAGCAGACAAGGAGAGGGAGAACCAGTAAAACCGGCCACGGGCATTTACAGCCAAACCGGGATCTTTGCCACAAAGCAGAGCGCGCCCCTGCCCCATGACAAGCCCCGGGACAACAGGTGCCCCTGAAGCAGGCTCATCCCCACTCAAAAAACTGCCTAAACGCAGGTCAAGGTCGGGTGGTACCCACCAGCACCAGATGTCCATCCTGGGCCCACACCTCCCCTACCCCTAAAGCCCCAGGACTCCAGACCCACGGCACTCCCCACGACCCCCTAGGGCCTAGGTCAGGAGGTGTGTTCTGCCCACAGGAAGCTCACCAGCACCACCACCCCACAAACCTAAGCACTGCGGGTCCTGAGATTCCCACCCCAACCCCGTCCCCACCCCATCACTACTTGAGCCACACTCAGCTCCACCAAAGCAAGCAAACAAACAAAAACCCAATTCTTCATACTCACGATCCATCCTAGGTTCCCACAACCACTCGGACACGCAGGACCCAGGTAGGGGTTCCCTTGCTAGAAAGACGCGGGGAGCTATATGGCCGGATCCACGCCCCAACCCCACCCCAGGGGATGCCTGGCTGAACTCGTGTGCACGGCCCAAATAAACCCCGGGGTGCTCGACTGCAGCCGCCTCCCTCTTCGTTAGTTGTCTGGCCCAGAATAAATAATCTCACCTCCTTCAAAAGAGAAACCACAGTTCCAGCTCACCCGCCCCAGCCGGAGACAGAAGGTCCCCTAGCGCACAGCACCGAGCGTCTCAACCCATCCCCCGCCCCAAAGGCGCACCTGGGGCCGCGCCCTATTTCCAAAACGAAACCTCCCGGACTTGCGGCCACTCCTCCACCAGCCTCACTCCACCGGGTCCCTAACCCCGCGGGGCCCCGCTCCTCCTGTTAGCACCGCCAAGGGCCTCGGCGGTTCGCTCACCAGCGTCAGCGGGGTAGGTCCACCCAGCCCTGCGCCGATCTACGGCGCCAGCACAGCTCCCAGCATCCCCGCAGGCTCCGCCTCCAATGGCCGCCAGGGGAGAGGCTGCGGCCACGAGGTTAATTACTGGACAATGTCTGTTGCAGTGACAGCCTATCCGTCTCTTTTATTAAGATGCCCACGCACAGAACAGGCAGTGATGGCCTCGGCCGGGTGCTCAGGGGGTTAGCGCGTCCTCTCACCCGCCGAGGTTGCAGCTTCCATCCCGCGTCAGGGCACATACGAGAACCCACCAATGAAAAACAAACAACGAAAAAGAATCAACCCACAAATGCATAAGTAAGTGGAGCAACACACCGGCCTGAGGCAGGCCTCTCTCTAAAGTTAATTTGTTTAATAACCAAAAAACGAACTAAGACAGGCAGTGATTCCGGAGTGAAGTCTGTTCCTTCTACTCATCCGCTGGAAAGACTACACTTCCCAGAAATCTCTACGGCAGCTTCTGCCGAAGGGTTCCGCACCCCGCCTCTCCGGGGGGTGAAGAGTTCCGTGCAAAAGAGCCATTTCCGGTTGACGGTCAGACTGGTGCAGAGTGCAGGCTGGGAGCCGTTTCTGCGCTTTGGCTTGTGTTTTTACTCCCAGGCCCAGCTAAGTGCTCTGGGCTTACCGGTAAACTGCATAGCATGCACACCTCCTTTCATGAGCGCCATCTGAGTGTGGCTTCGTGCCACCCGCGCACCCCTGTGGGCATCCCCACTTTACTGGCAGGAGAAACAGGAAGGCAAAGCAGTCGCCCACTTTGGATACTACATAGTGGGTATCCTCTTGTCCAAGCCCTCAAACTTAGTGGCAAATTCTCATCCAGGTCCTGGAGGACGGAAGCCTCACTCACACATGCTGAGCTTGGCTCTCTGGCCTATTATCTGAACGTGGATGTTTAAAAAAAAACAAACGAAATTCAGCCCTAGCCGGTTTTGCTCAGTGGATAGAGCATCAGCCTGCAGACCAAAGGGTCCTGGGTTCGATTCCGGTCAAGGGCATTACAAAAAAAATCAACTGAGTGCATTTGAAGATCTAGCAAAGAGAAAAGAGCTCTGAAGAGCTATACAAAATAGATGTTTATAGGCAGAAGGGTTCAGGGAGACAAGGAAGCTGTGGACAGAGTGGATTCTTTCAGGCAAGGGTCTCAAAGACCCTTAGGGGTCTATGAGAAAATTACCTCAAGAGTGCTGACCAGGTAATCCCAGACTGACTGTTTTAAGATTTCATTTCTGGGAGAGGTTGAAAGTGTTACTGGACAGGGGCCGGCCCTTCGTAGGTCTGCCTCAGGCCGGTCTGTGGTACGTGGCTGCTTGACTTTGGGTAGGAAAGATTCCGCAACAGGAGTCCAGATGGGTTTGAGAATATGTGTATTAATGCTGGGGACAATGACACAAAGGAAGAAATTAGAGTAGAAGAAACGACAGGGAGAGCCTAGGCGGGCTGCTTTGGCTCTAGAAAGGTTATAGGAAAGAAGTGAGCAAGGCAGGGCTGCTTCAGCTCCCTGGGAAGTGGAGACAGGATCAGGGGGTGAGCCCAGGTCAAGCTGCCACTGCCCACCACTCCCCCGGCTGCAAGTCTTGTGGGGACCCTTAGAAATAAAAAGCTCGTGCCCAGGAAGGCTCTAGCAAGAGCCCACGTCAAATCTTTGTCCTGAGGGCTTTTTATCCTTTTTTTCCCCCTGCAGGTGAGAATCTTGGCGGGGGGGGGGGGGG